GAATACTCCTATCCCCGCCTTCCTAGAAGATGAGTGACTCCCTGAGCCCAGCCCTTGCCGCCTTCCCTCTCACTCCTAGGCAGGCCCTGGGCTCTGTGGCCTAACTCCCCTGTTCCCTCTGACATGTGAGCACTGCCTATCCCACATCTCAATGTAATGGACTAAGTAGGCTCCAGATGGACCTTACCCTCCTACACAGCAAAAGCCTCTTTTCTCCTGCACCCCAAACCCTGCCCACTTGGTGACCAGAGCAACCATCTTCGTCTAGGCCAGAAACTCAGCCGTCTTGCCTATCGGTCTTCCACCTTCTACTACTCCACATTACCAAGACCTCTCTCCTTTTTAAATCCTGCTAAGCCTATCACCTCTTCTCTAGCGCTACTGCCACAGCTTCTATTCAGGCCACTGTCATCTCTCATCTATATTCCATTGGCCTCCAAAAGGTTCTCCCTCTCATCTTGAGCCTTGTCTAATACATTCCTCACTGAAATCAGGTCTAAAATACCATCTGAACATCTCCCTTCTCTGCAGAAACCCTGAGGGGCGACCTATAGGATAAAGACCAAGCCCCTTAGCTTGAGTTAAGACCTCCTTCCCTAACCTACTCATACTCCCTCTCTTCCTTACAAAGGGCCTCCAGTGAGTGGAAGTCTGCGTAGGTCCCAAACAGAATACTATTTCACCCCCCAAGTACAGGTCTTGTCCCCCTTTCTTAGAACGCATGGCCCCTCTCCCTTGTCCAGGCAGATTTCTATTCCTGTCCAAGAACCTTCCTCTATGGCATCTGCATGGGTCTTTATATGTAATCTGTCAGCGCCATATGTCAAAGGCAGCTCTCCCAGTCTCCATCATCCGTACATCCCTACACCCTGCACAGCGCCAGGCACTAAGAGGCCTTCAGTCGAGGTTGATCTCACTGAACTCACTGAATGGGACCCCTCCCCTACAGATCAGCTACGGGGCGAGCAGCACGATGTTCAGTGTGAAGCGGCAGTACCCATCTTTTCTTCGCACCATCCCTAGTGACAAGTACCAGGTGAAGATCATGGTGCTGCTGCTGCAGCAGTTCGGGTGGGTCTGGATCTCACTGGTCGGTAGCGAGTGAGTTTTAAGCCACCGGGTCCGGGACGCGAACCGCGGTCGACTACGTGGGAGTCCAGCGACATAGCCATTACGCTAACTGCTGGTTCCCTGCATGGGTCTTTATATGTAATCTGTCAGCGCCATATGTCAAAGGCAGCTCTCCCAGTCTCCATCATCCGTACATCCCTACACCCTGCACAGCGCCAGGCACTAAGAGGCCTTCAGTCGAGGTTGATCTCACTGAACTCACTGAATGGGACCCCTCCCCTACAGATCAGCTACGGGGCGAGCAGCACGATGTTCAGTGTGAAGCGGCAGTACCCATCTTTTCTTCGCACCATCCCTAGTGACAAGTACCAGGTGAAGATCATGGTGCTGCTGCTGCAGCAGTTCGGGTGGGTCTGGATCTCACTGGTCGGTAGCGACGGAGACTATGGACAGCTGGGGTTGAAGGCACTGGAAGACCAAGCCACCCAGCAGGGCATCTGCATTGCCTTCAAGGACATTGTGCCTTTCTCTGCCCAGGTGGGTGATGAGAAGATGCAGAGCATGATGTACCATCTGGCCCAAGCCAAGACTACTGTCGTGGTTGTTTTCTCCAACCGGCAGCTGGCCAGGGTGTTCTTCGAGTCCGTGGTGCTTGCCAAGCTCACTGGCAAGGTGTGGATTGCCTCTGAAGACTGGGCCATCTCCAGACACATCTCCAGTGTGCCTGGGATCCAGGGCATTGGGACAGTGCTGGGTTTGGCCATCCAGCAGAGGGTAGTACCTGGCCTGAAGGCGTTTGAAAAGGCCTATGCCCAGGCAAACAAACGGGTCCCTGGGCCTTGTCCCAATGGCTCTTGGTGTAACAGCAACCAGCTCTGCAGAGAGTGTCAGGACTTCACAGCGTACATGATGCCCAAACTTGGAGCCTTCTCCATGAGTTCTGCCTATAACGTATACCAAGCTGTGTATGCTGTGGCCCATGGCCTCCACCAGCTCCTAGGCTGTACCTCTGGAGTCTGTTCCAGTGGCCGAGTCTACCCCTGGCAGGTAAGAAAGCCCAGCCCCAGGAACCCTGTGTCAGGGAGAATAGCTAACCCTAATCACACAGAAGGGCACTCTCTGATCACTCTCAGTGCCAGGAGGAATAACAGTCACTGACCTGAAGGCTGATGTCTTCCCTTAGATAAATCCTTCTCTTCTCTGCTTGTCATCTCCCACTCACCGTGACTCAGAAGTGTCAAAAAATAAGACCCAGGGCCAGAAACCTCCGTAGAGATTTGTTGCAGGCGTCCTCTTGGGAGGTTGGTTGGGAAGGTCAAGGAGTTCCCTAGAAGTGAAAGGGGATCTGAGGAAGGGACCAGACCTTCTAGGTGAGCTAAAGAAGCCCCCCCAAAAAAGCCCCAGATACTTGCTTCCTGGATTGTACAGGTCTGTGTTATCTATGATGGCTTCATGACAGCTGTTTGTTTCAGCTTCTGGAGAAGATACACAAGGTGAATTTCCTTCTGCACCGGAATACTGTGAAGTTTAACGACAACGGGGACCTCCTCAGTGGCTATAACATAATTGCCTGGGATTGGAGTAGGTCCAAGTGGGCCTTCAGGGTCATTGGTTCCTCCACGTGGTCTCCAGTATGGCTGAACATAAATAAGACCAAAATCCAGTGGCATGGAAAGAACAACCAGGTAATGGGGATGTGGTCACTTACCAGGTGACTGCGTCTGGCAGCCTGGAACCGAGGGATGATGCTGATCAGCTTATACAGAGCAGGAGGTGGACCCCAGGTGCCATGTTGCCTTGCTCTACCCAGTCCTGCCGAAGAAGGAGGAAGGCTATCTCCGTGGGCTGACAGACCGATGGCATTGGTTCACATGACCAGGGGCTCTGTCCTGACAGTGAGCCCTGAGGGCAAATGCACACAGTCTGTTTTCTTCTCCACACATGAGCTATGCCTTGACTTGGGCCCTTCCATGTAGTTGTAGAACACCTGTTACTTCTTTTTTTGTTTGTTTGCTATACGGCATTTGTACTCACTGGAGAGAGTCAGAGGGAAAGACAAGAAAGTGAGAAATCACCACCCAGTGGGTTAGCCACACCATAATCCTTTTTTCTCCATTCTCCTCTCACATGCACACACATGCACACACACACACACACACACACACACCCCTGGCGTGATTTTCAAGCCCCTGGATCTGGGACTCATACCATGCAGTCAGTCATGTAGGTGATCCAGTCCCTTAACCTCTATGCTGTCTGCTGGCCTGCCTTTGTAGTTTCTTTTTTCCTTTTTAAAATAATTGTTTATTTAATTCCATTATCATTTTTTAATTTGATTAGAGAAAGAGAAAGGGAAAACAAGAAAGCAAGCCACCAGGTCTGGGACTTGAACCATGATCAGCCATGTAAGAATCCAGTGCCCTTATCCACTACTCCAACCACTGGCCCCAGTTTCTTTTCTTTTTTTTTTTTTCAAGGGAGATTTTTGCTATAGGGTGTGTGTGCTAGTCCAAGAGAGACAGAGAGCTAGAAAGTGAGAAATCACCCCCGGGGGGGATGGCCACACTGCAATCCCTTCTTCTCCATTTTCTTCTTGGGATCTTGAGCACACATGTACATGTGCCTGGCATGAGTTTGAAGTCACTGGGTCCAGGACTTGAACTGCAGTCGACTATGTGTGAGTCCAGCAACGTAACCATTACACCATCTGCTGGTCCCACTCTTGTGGTTTCTTACAGGTGCCCACGTCTGTGTGCTCCAGTGACTGTCTTGAAGGGCACCAGAGAGTGATTGTGGGTTTCTACCACTGTTGCTTTGAGTGTGTGTCCTGTGAGGCTGGGACCTTCCTCAACAGGAGCGGTGAGTGAACAAGTTAGTGAGCACATGAGTCAGCACTCCAGGAGATGGGAGGACCTTCCTTGGATCTCTTGTGCACACCTGGCCCCAGAACAAGATCCCTAGTCACTGGGCTGCCGGTTAGGTTAGGTACAGGTTGGAGGACACTTGCCACCAGACTGAATTCTGATTAAAAGAAAGAAGCAACCAACCGGAAGCCCTAGACTGAGGTGTGTCCTCCCATCACTGCTCCTACAGATGCAATCTATTCCTGAACATAACCTCTTATTTCAAATGGATGTAG